CCCCCCCACGCCAAGCTGCGGGGTTTCAACTCACAATCGGAACGTCTCGTTCCACTCGGGGTTCAGAGAGCACTTGATGGTCTTGGTCTTCTGCTTGCTCTCGCTCTTGGGATCAGGGATGAGTTTCAGCTTCACGTAGGGATCTGACAAGCCGTTGGGATCCATGGGTACCAGGTTTTTAGCGTCTCTTACTAGAAAAGGAAAAAGCGGTTTCCGCGTTAATCACGTCCAGCGTGTGTGAGCCACAAGCAGCCGTGTGGGTAGAACCGGTGACAGCGCCTGGCCCGGCCCGGCATTTGCTGGGTCAGAACGTTACTGCGATTGACATCTCCAGCTCAGAGTCCCCCACAGCCAAATAAGCGAGTCAGAGGGAGATTCGGTTCTCTGTTGGGGAAAAATTGACTTCTGACTTTCAGCTTGCAATCCCTGGACTGCTTCCAAGATGAACCACAAGTTTTCTAAGCGAGCTTCCACGAAGCCCACGGGGGAAAAAAAAAAAAAGGCTCTTTTAATTGAGCTTCATGTTTTCAAGGCTGAATAATATTCCTCAGTATAGAGAGACCACATTTTCAAAATGCATTTGTCAGTTGATGAACATTTTGGTCATTTCTACTTTTTGACTATTGGGAACAGTGCTGCTATGGACGTGTGCGTACCCAGACTCAAAAGGTCATATATTTATATAAAATTCCATTTATATAAAATATCCTAAGGAAATAAATCCACAGATGAGGAGTAGACTAGTACTAGCCATCGGCCAAGGGGAGGGAGAGAGGGGGGGTTTACTGCTTCACAAGTACAGACTTTTTTAGGAGTGATGAAAAGTTATTGGAACTAGAAATAGATGATGATTATATAATCAGATGCCACTGAATGCTCTACTTTAAGATAGGTAAAGGTTAGTCCTGTTTATATGAATTTTCCCTGAATTAAAAAGGAAAGAGCTGAAAGAATCAGAGGTGCCATCTAAACCAAGGTGCGCCTCTTATCCAGGTACATGACCAGCACCTAGGTAATGGCACAAACCCCAACTACCAGCTACTTGGGAGGCTGAGGCAGGAGGACCACACGTTCAAGGCCAGCCTCTGCAACTTAGTGAAATGTGTCTCAAAATAAAAAATAAAGAGTGTGTGTGGGGGGGTGTAGCTCAGTGGTAGAGCATCCATGGGTTCAAACTCCAGTACCTCAAAAGAAGAAGGAAAAGCAGGAGGAGGAGGAGGAGGGGAGAAGGAGAATATCAGCAACATGACAGCAATCAAGAACAGCATCACCCTGGTCAGGAACATTCCAGGTACAGAAAGTTATAGGACCAACTTAGGGAAGGGAAAGCATTAGCATTCAGGATGCTACAGGCCACAGGGAAAAAAAAAATGAAGCAGAATAAAACATCAGCCTAGAGAAACAGGAAGAAGTTACTTAGGAGCCAGCTCAAAAGCCACTAACGTAGGTAGCCAAGGGAAGGGGATTAGAAAATAAAAGTCACACAGAACCTAAAGATAGAGTGCTGACCATCTCCCTTGTGGTAGAAAAATCCAAGGTACTGTATTCGATCCACAATGAGTCAAACCATCCACTAGAAGTTAAATATGGAATGGCACCGTCCATCAATGCAGAGATGGTTCAATCTCAGGAAATCTGCTTTATGGATTCAACAATTTAGAGGCCAAAGGAGAAAACAATAAGATCACTGCCGTTATCTGGAAATAGCAGGGAGATGTCTTAAGAGGAGAAGGGCCACCGGGAGTAACAGTGCTGTAACAGGAGTTCCGCAAGTTCAAGATGACAACAAAAACGGGTTCAAAGACAGAATCCGTTCCAACCATGGTTATCTCCTTCCCCGGTCCTTCCCACGGCTCCCCTGGAAATGGACCTGCTTTCTCTGGTTCTTTAACGCAAATGCTCCCCCGAAACGTGTCCCTCCCACCCCTCACCCACCACCAGCTCCTTAGTACCAGCTCAGCGCTCTGCTCGGCACTGGGGACGCAGGGGACCATCGAAGAAGTTGATCCCGTCCACAAGGCACAGACGAAACCAAGTTGATTTAAAAGTATAGTTGACTTCTAACGAGACAGTAGCCGGGCCACCCAGAGTTAGGGATACAGGGCTATACAATGCCAGGGTAGGCGTCTTGTATTTAAACCTCAGTTTCTTGATCCATCAAATGGGTTCCTGTAAGAGTAGCGTGGGATAAAGAATATACACCGGTCCGCAAGTCTACTTTGGTGCCAATACCGTGCACTTTTTTTTTGTTACTAGAGCTCTGTAGTGTAGTTTAAGGTGGGGTACTGGGATGCCTCCTGCTTCACTCTTCTTGCTAAGGTTGGCTTTAGCTACTCTGGGTCTCTTATCTTTCCAGATAAATTTCACGACTGTTTTTTCTATTTCTATGAAGGAGGCGATATTAATTCTGCCTGCCCAGGAGCACGGGAGATCTCTCCATCTTCTGAGGGTTTCTTCAATTCCTTTCTTTAGTGTTCCGTAGTTTTCATTGTAGAGGTCTTTCACCTCTTCTGTTAGATTGATTCCCAGGTATTTTATTTTATTTTTGAGGCTATTGTGAACGGAGTAGTTTTCCTAATTTCTTTTCCAGTGGATTTATTGCTGCTGTATAGGGATGTGTTTGATTTATGGGTGTTGATTTTATACCCTGCTATTTTGCTGGATTCATTCATGAGTTCTAGAAGTCTTCTGGTGGAATTTTTTTTTTTTGGATCTTCTAGATATAAAATCATGTCATCACCAAATTGTGATAGTTTCAGTTCTTCTTTACCTATTTGTATCCCTTTAATTTCTTTCTTTTGTCTAACTACTCAGGCTAGAATTTCGAGCGTGATCAATGTTTATAGAAGCTCAATTCACAATAGAAAGACTATGGAACCAACCAAGGTGTCCCTCAGTAGATGGATGGATAAGGAAAATGGGGTCTAGATACTCAATGGAATATTACTCAGCTTTAAAGAAGAGTGAAATTAATGGCATTTGCCAGGAAATGGTTGGAGTTGGAGAATATCATGCTAAGCGAAATAAGCCAATCCCACAAAACCAAAGGCTGAATGTTTTTCTCTAATATGCAGATGCTGATTCACAATAAGGCGGGTGGGGGGTGTGCTGGGGAAGAATAGCGTTACCTTAGGTTAGGTAGAGGGAGGGGAGGGGGTGTGGGGGTAGGAAAGATAGTAGAAGGAAACAGACACTATTACTGTATGCATATATATGTGATGGCATGACCAATAGGATTCTGCAACATGTGCACTCAGAAAAATGAAATTATACCCCATCTGTGTAGGATATATCAAAGTGCATAAATGCATTCTACTCTCGTGTCGAACTAATTAAAACAAATTAAAAAGGAAAAAAAAAAAGAATATACCTGTTTAGCCCAGAGCCTGGAGCCCGGAAGGTCCCCATACCAGCCTGTCCGCACTGCTGTCATGTGGCTATTATCATTTCACTCCATTTCTCTATTTCGATTGTGAAGACTGACCCATTTCCAAATGGATGGGTCCCCAACAGAATCGCGCGTGTTTTTCCTTCTTAACAACAACCAACGGCTCTGACCTGCCCACTGGGACCCTTCCAGAAGAGTTCATCTCAAACCTCGGCCTGCCTCGGGGTCCCCCAAGGACCCACCCCCACAGATACCCGCAGCCTCCGGACGTGGGAAATGCTCCTCTGCCTCCTGACAGGTCCCCTGCGAGGCTGACGCTGCGGGTCCACAGAGCACCCACGTGGAGCAACGCGGCCCTGGAGCGTGAGATTCAGGATCCCAGCGCGTCACCCCCCGGAGGAACAGCCCCCCCAACTGTTATTTTCCCTCCTGGCTTGATCCTTCCAGGGAAAAGAGCAGGTGCCAGTTTCTCATCTGGGAATGACACTTCTATCCCCCAGGGAGCGGCATGAAAACCGGATCTGAGACACCGACAGGGCCAGAAACCCGTCTGCCGGCTCGACGGGCAACCCTCGGGCAGGGGGAGACAGCTCCCCTGTCCTCCTTCCCGTCGGGCCACCCCCCACCCCAGCCCACACCCACCTTGGCTTGCGGACTGGCGCCAGAAAGACAATCACTGGGAAAATGCCTTCTATAGTAAGGTCAGGGCTTTCCAGCAGTTTCCAAGGGCTCTCTGCCAGGACCATACGGGGCCCTAGACTGGAGCTGTCAATGTCAAGGCTGATGCCTTTAGACTTCTGCTGCAGTCCCCCTCTCCCCCTCCCCCTCCCCCTTTCCCTCAGTCTGCCTGATTCTACCATCTACCAAAGGGGTTAAAACTGCCAGGGGAAGGAAATCTGAAACTGGTGGCATCCACCTCTCCAGAGTTTCGGCTCCTGAAACCGCTGTGTCCTAGGCAGTGGACAGTGGCTGCGGCCTCCCATCCCAAGGCCTGTCCCCTCCTGAAGCTCTTCAAAGTCGGCTCCTGTCCCCCCAACCCCCGCCCCCCCCCAGCAGCGGGGAGAGGGCTGCTCTGTGTTGGTTTGGAGGAAGCCGATCCCTCTAGACCACACTTGGCCAGACTCACTTGGATGTTTCTTGATAAACGTTGCTTTACTATCTTTCCTGAAATCCGGCCAGCCCAGATGGTCCCCGAGAAACGCTTCACGCAAAGCAGAAATAGCAACCTTCCCCCCACCCCCCTGGCGGAAGTCTGCTAGAGGCGCAGGCGAAGGATACCCTGGGGACAGAGAGCAGGCTGTGCTGGGGGCCACCACGGGAGCAGGGTGGAGGACAGAACCCAACTCCTTCCCTCAATCAGAGCAAAGAACTCCGCATTCCAGTGACCTAGGACAGGGCGGAATCCACAGAGAGAGAGCACTGATGTCACTGACCCTCTTAGGAAATACTCTTCGTCAACATTTTCCCAATATTCCCCCCCCCCCAGAAAAAAAATCTTGGAAAAGTCTGAATAATTGTGGTGCTTTTTACAGCCTTGGCCCTGCGCTCTATAAGTCAAGTGCGTCTCTATATTAAAGCTCTGTTTGGTGGAACTTTCCTAAGTGTGAGTCCTGAGACCTACAGCTCAAAGCTACACCCACGAGCATTCAGTTTGAGGAGGTCTGTGGCGAACTAACCTGGGTGTCCATCAAGAGGGGATGTCAACAACGCACAGCGCCCGTTCACACTGTGAACTGCTACTGCGCATGAGAAAACCCCCACCCTCTGCAGGAACTAGTGTTTTGACAGGGGAAAAAAAGCAAG